CATGCACTAACTTTGAACAAGCCAGCAATGTTAATGACGTAATTGAACAGCATTACACGCGTACTTGAAACCCACGAATGGTGTGTTGCTTAACACCATGAGTTATAGTCACAACTAAGTATCACACACCGTTCCATAATGTGTGAAAGTTTGACGTAATAATATGTGTAAAATATACCGTTTACGGCGTTGATACTTTGAGCAGCGTCATACTGAACGGTGAGTTTGTTAACTTCTTCCAGGGACCAGTGGCATTCACAGAAGGCGGTGACAGAAAAGGAGTATTGGCTATTGAACAAAATATAGGTGAGTAAACTATAGGTCGTGAGTATGACAGTTAGGTACATTCACTCTGGAAAGAAAAGCTGTATGGAACAAATCAACCGGTGCAATTACGCGCTCGTAAACTGAACCATGCTCAGTTCAATCCACAATATATTTTGTTGTATTTCAGTGGATGTTGGTATATATTGTTATGCCGGCAGTTTTTTTTTCTGTTTTGTGATATGATGTAACCGTATAAGATTCACGAGGATATTGTTTTATAGTATAATGCATAATTAAAAGGGTAGACTTGAGTCTTTATATTGAACACACTGCCACCTCACGGTAGTTTGCAACCATTGAAAAAACAATACATTTCTTTGATTTTAAATTAGTTTAATTTTTTGCTGTTATTTACAATCTAGATACGAATAAATGGTCACTGAACTACTTTTCATATTAAACAAAGGTTTCTTCAAAAAAATCATTTCATACTAGATACACAAACGAAAGGTCTGATTATATAATTGTGTGACACTTCTCAAACTTTTTTTGGGGGGGGAGATTAATTTTTCGTCCATATTTATCAGGTCGAATGCCCACGAGCGGTGTTAAGTACAGTAATGCTGTTGAACAGAAAATTGATATTTCTCTTAACAAGGGTGTTAATCACTGTTTGTTCAGAAAACTCAAATGACTCATAGCAAGCATAACATATACTACTGGTAACACCAAAGCGGCAAAATATGACTACTCGGCGTAGTCACTAATAGCGGTTACAGCGATTGTAAAGTAATAACAGGATGACCCGTATTGCGTCGATAAGCAATGCGTGTTGTTTACAATTATAGTGCAACAATGTTTTTATTTATATGAAGAACTAGTGTTTTAACTCAACGATTATCAGCGCCACCATAACATGCAACTAACATAGTAATTTTTCACAACTTCAGTGGAAACCCAAACCCAATCGTGGAAATGCGAGTAAATCAGCTTAAAAACACTACTGCGTGATGTTTACAATAGTGCAAATGTTTGCCTTTTTACGCCAGTCAGGTACGGGCCGGGCATGTCTGATGTTCGGTATACACGTTCAGCTTTGGAGAGAAAAAAACAGTTTGTGTTTCTACCCCCACTCCCCGGAATAATTATGTTGTATATTTTTTCAGACGTCGTTGGGAGAGTTCATTTTTAATGAGCTATTCTGGCCCATTTCTCATTTTACTGACTCACATGTACTATTTTACTAAATTCGTTCATACTGATCATATTATTTTACACTCACTTTAACCACCATTTTTGACTACGCCGAGTAGTTGTTTCGCCCCGCTCAGATGTTACCAGTAGTACAACTTCCATGAATCACTCATTATAAGTGTATGAAGTCGTGACTAGGGCAAAAAGATTGGAAAATAAATTGTACCTAGTATTGTCCCATGTGTATAATAAGATTGGTCTTTGATAGTTAAGAACAGCGCATTGTTGTAAACGTTTACAGTGGCACAGTTGAGAGAATATTGTGAAATAATAAAGGGAAACAAAACAACGTCAATGTGCCATGTGATAACATGCATCTAAACGAGTTTGTAATATCCTAGTATATAGGATGAATTGTTTCCACCAATGACAGACTTATATTTAAAACTATCAGCCAAAAAAATTTAATAAACCGTGTAAACCGCTTTTGATATAAATGTATGTCGCTTCTCTTTGTGGAAATTATAAAATAACATAATGCCCAAGAGTCTTACGTGAACAATGGAACCGGAAAATGTTCTTATGATTTATTCTTGTAAACTGCATGGTTCAATGAAAGTGAACAAAGCGTCTTCTGCGCACAACATTTGTCAGAACACTATTTCGTCCCTTATATTTTAATGGATGTTCCAGTGTTATATATGTCAATATTGACACCCGTAAATTGCTATTATTTGAGTACGTGAACTTCAAACTTCTCTAAGGATTGAAACTGGAACTGCAAATGTCATCTACACCTTTTGTCCTTAAACGAGATCGGAATACTTAAATTTAAAAGATTAAATGGCGTTGGAGCCACTTCTAGGTGACAACATGGTACAACAAATCCAATGCCTATGAAGCAGATTGCGTTTCACAACTGTCATGCTGTCGTAACTCATAATACAAGTCCAAGAACAAAAAAATACAAAGCAATATACACACAAATGCATACTATCGAAAGCCGTTCGGGATCCCCATGTATTAATAAAGAACACATAGATAAACCATAGACCTTAAAAGTCTTTTAAGCTCTATGGATAAACGTACAGAGTTATAGATACTTGTATATTGAAATGTACATTAACTACACACGTATCATCCCTGGATGTTTTGTTGATATTACCACCGTAGTTGTAGTCATAGCTAACACTTACATTTCCGTAGTTAAAGTTGCAAGAACAGTTTTAATGATATATTGATTCCTGTTATTACCATCTGAATGTATGTTAGTGAGGATATTACTAAGAACGATCTACGTTGAGTATTAATACCATCGGACGTATTGGTGGTCGTCGCACAGCGCGTGGTTCACGCAAACAAACAACGTATTTTACACGCGTTGTATACGTCGCTATGATCCCATATCAAACAGGACACGGCGCGGCGACCTCTGCCCTTTAATAATTACTATTAGCAACAGGACAACTGAGGTTTGTTATTAATCTCGGGAGCAATGTGGACAATTGATATTACCATCAGAAACACAGCTCGTTGTTGTGTTATTACTATCGAAAACCCGACCTGGACCATCGGAAACACAGCTTCTTGTTGTCGCCATCGGAGATACAATGGTTACTTGTAGTCATCACCGTTGCAAAACGCAACATGTAGTTGTAACCATCGCATACTGAGCAAAGCTCTTTCATGCACATGCAGTCTGCGAAATTAGCTTTGTTCTGTTCATGTAGCGTTTCCGGTGGTGACAAGTAGATGTTGCGTGTCCGTTGGTTATAATAAAGAACGGAGGTCTCGTTTCCGATGATACTGACAGAAGTTCAGATCGCGTTTCCGATGGTAATAACAAAACAAGGTACCACATTCCCAATAGCATTATTAACATTTCAGACTATGTGTATAATGATAAAAACAATCGACGCAGGTCGTTCTTAGAGATAAACGCTCGCTAATAACAATAACAAGAATCGATATCATTGAAACTGCTCGTGCAATTTTGGCAACGTAAATACTTGCTATAATTAAAACTACGGTAGCGATATTAACACAGCAATCAGCAACGACACGTGTGTAGTTAGTATACATTTTAAAAAGAGTATCTATATGATTGATGCTACGCTCGGGAGATTTATCATATATATGTATATTAGCTTATTTAACATCAAATCGGATGATTACCGTGGTAATAAAAAACAAATGTAACCTTCGGTAATGCCTTTAAGAAGTATATAACTTTCAAAATTGTACGTTTTTCTATGTGTTATTTAATAAACCATCGGCTCCGAACGGCTTTTTATAGCATACACAACGCTTCACATGGTAAAATCAGTGAGCGGACGATATATGGATATCTGGAAATACAATTAGGTAGTAAACATAATTGAATTGAAAGTGTATTGTACCATAGTGGGTCAACTATACACTAATAAAATATTTATATTAAAGCTACATAGGTAATCGCATTCACGTCAGTACGTATAACTAATTATTTTCACTCATTCCTACACTCATATTAATCCAAAATTTTTAATTTTCATTGAGTATTGTATTCTTTCACTTTCAGATTCCGTAGAAGTTGAAATTGGCAGATATTACGCGGATAGTGATGACATTGTTTGGAGTTTCACAGCTGATGAAATCTGGCAAACCCATGGTTCGTGCAGTATTATCAAATAAAAACGATTAATATTCAGAAAAGCTTATTGTAATATGTCGAACTAATATTATCGAACGGGCTCAAAAAATGTCAGATCTTTTTGGTCATAAAACAAAAGACTTAAATATTTATAATAACTGGAACTTTATTATTGTATTTGTGTATCAAAACAGGTGGGCAACCTCCAGCGGACGAAGATACCACTGTCACCACTGTGTATCATATTACTGTATCGACATCCGCTTCTTACATCATGTCAATCTTGTCGGTATGTGGCGTATTAACTGCGATGGGGTTTCTTGTCTTCAACTGTACTAATCGGAAGAAGAGGTACGTGTCTCTACTTTATATAATTATTACTCAATGTAGAACTTTCTTGATAGGGTATGTTTTGGATGATACAATAGATATCAAGGTACAACAAAAAAATGAGTTGAAAATGTATTTATTATTGCGATATTCTATTAAAGTTACTAAGCATGTTGTTACTTTAACTTTAATTTTCAGGTCATTCTTGTGAGAAAAAAGGTGTTAAAACATTTTTTTTTCAAAATGGAGCGCCAGGTAATGTCTTAGACAAACATTAATACGGCATATGTACTGCCGTATTCGCTTATACCTAAGCTTTCATAGCTGTGTAGGTTGTTATTGTAGCGTGCTTAGGGCCTTTTATAGAATGTATGAATCGTTGATCAATTTTAATTCGTATTCCTTCTGTTACTACGTGAATAATAATTACATGCAATTTTATACCCATCATTTATTTATTGTCATTAGTACCAATGAATTTGTAATTTGAGAGGAAAATGCCGGCAAGCATGTCTGAAATGTAACTGATTGCTTGCTTTCAATATCGACTGATTGATATCAATATCAATTTCAACTGCTCGGGCGTCACCTACAGGTGTAAAATATGAACATGGGAAGGTGTGGCTTGGGTCGTTCCATTTTGAAGTGGGTGAATAACGAAGAAAGGAATTCAACACGTGTTATATCACACCGCATCCAGACAGATTTTTGATGTTTTTACAACTAAACAAGGCACACCAGTCTTAGTTTTCTAACTGCCGAAATGACATCACTTTGGGAACAGTTCGCAAAATATGTGCGATATGTCCGCATACAACTCAGCAAAAGACGACATCATCGACGAAGCAAGGCCACGAGTTATGCCTTTTTCCGAAGAGGGATTTGTACATTTTGTTTTCAGCAAGGTTTTACGATAAAACATAATAAACATGATCAAGAGTATTTTGTACCTTATTGAAATGTAGTCTGCTCAGTGGTCAAAAACTAACTATATTCACCGAACTGGTATCGAAATGTATCAGATCTGAAAGTACATAAGTAGAATACCAAGAAATGTACAATATTCTTCTAATAATAATTTGCCTAATAATCTATCACATCCCACACATAATTTAACAAAGTACTAGAATGTTCATTCCATTCATTTTGATGAGTTGAGTTGGCAGACTTCAATATTATTCAATCACTCTTGTTCATTAAAATAGTCAAGTTGTTTCTTGTGTCTTTATACTAGTTAAAGAGTTTAGATCATCAGTTCTACTAAATATATATATTTCCTTAAATGTTTGTTTGTTTTTCGTGTTAGTACCTGCAATATTTGTAAAATATGGGCGGCCCTTTACAATTACACTGTGTTGCGGCGTGTTTAAGAGCGATGATAAACAATGATTTATTCAAGTTTTAGCTTAAACGCTTCCGATTGAAAAGGGTTTGCTTACCACATATAGTATCATTGGAAACATTAATATTTTCGGCAATATTAGATTTGAGAGAAAATAGTAAATCATTGCTTCCTCTACCATATAAAATATGCAAAATAAAAAGTGTGCAGCAGAAGCAGAAATACAATGAATCACGGGAAAAGGTATTAACAATTGTGGAACGCCAAAATAATTCTTACTGTAAACGATTTTGTTACATACACGGTGTCATTGTCGATTTAGTGATTAGCTTGATTTCCAACACGTGTGTTCTCATCACCAGTGATAATAGAATATACATACACCATTTGACATTTGTAGACGGTCGTTAATATCGTAATCATTGTATTTGTAAAAAAACTACGCCATTGTCTACATTGAACACATAAACAAGAGAAATATGCAATTATGTAAATTTTAGACGAGTAACATAATAAACTTATCACGTAAATACGCCACACACAAGCGTTGTTACATACTTTGTAGCCTGAAAAAAACACTGATCAAATCGGTTGTCGTTTTCAGTCCATGTTTTAAGAAAGAGATAACGTCAGTAATGTTTGTGTAAAGTTTATGGATACAAAAGTTACTTCGGTGGTGAATTTGGCGTTTCAACAGCTTCTTTCGAGACCTTCGTACCTTCAAGAGAGTCTCTTCCATCGAATCCCCGGTAATATCTGTGATGTCAGTTTTGCCATCGGTTGCAATTAATCTACTCCTTTGAAATAAGCGTATCTCCCTTTTTTGTAATTCACAAGTATTTGTCCTTAGCAAGTTGTAAAAACGGGACGTGTATGAAGAATTAGTAACCGAACATGAATGTTAGGAATACAACAACATGAGATAAACATAAAGCAAGTGTTCATATTTCGATGGAAACTTAATCTTCCACTTTCATATAACCAAATTTTAAGTAATTTAGATGCCAACCTTCAACGGTATTAAGCACATGCTTGCCATGGGATTTACATGGGACCATTGTGCTTATGGACTGTACTGTTCGGCTTTTTGACTGAACAAAACCGTACTCAACATATCTGATGGGAAACGGCAATGCTTTCGACAGAAAAAAATAACTTCTTCTACATGCAACGAGCTAATGAAACCTGTCGTTTTGACGTTGATCGCGGTCTTTTTAAGACAAATAATTCTAACATATCATTCAGACTGTGTCAAATATTAATGTTCAATATTATAATGAGATCGGGATATCTCGTCTAGTTTAGCAAGACACAACCGTGCTGTTACTGTGAACCAGAAACGTGTTATGCTTGATTTGGATACCATCAGTAAGAGTTCCATTGCGACAATTTTACTACATTGTAAGCTACAGTGTCTGTAATATTGATGTTCACAATTATTTGTCTAGGTACGTCGTATGCCAAGTTTTTGTGTTTTCATTAATAGTAAATCCATTCCAGTAACATACAAACACATGTTTTCTTGTTACTTTTATATATTATTTCATTATTTAAATATAAATATAAATGCAACGTTTTCAAAAATGTAGAAGTGCTTGAAATTACTGGTCACCCGACCACAAAGTTTTGCAATGTCGCCCGGTTGTCAACCTATATTGTTGAGCAGTAGTTTATATGATCTGCGTCAGTATCTAATAAACCTGTTTTGCTTGTTTTTTCCTTTGTGTAGTTTTACTTTATAAAAAAATGTTTGGCACTTGCTGTATAGTATAGTTAGTTTAGAAAACTCTGTCTGTCACTCTGTTCATATACAGTAATAGTAATAATATATAACATATTGTGTGTGTGGTATGAAAATGTTTTGAAGTCGTACTAACAGTGGTTCTCTTTAGCAATACGGACGGGTGTGTTATCTAACGCTTTTCTGTCAACTAAACTAAGCGAGCCTGGCAACTAAAATAATATATACGTATGCGTGGGTGGATGGCGATTTGTGTGCACAGAAGGTTAACTGTGGTTTTACATTCTTTTTTACGCATCGTTCGCCGGCACATTAAATTGAATATGAAAAGCGGGTTATAAATAATCCGTACGAATCTCGTTTGCTGTCGCTTGAACCGTCTCCCCAGACGCCGTGATCTATTGAAAGTAAGCCTCCAAGACCCGTTGGATTTTTGAGTTGCAAGTTACCCGTACGATTCTCGTTGTTGTCGCTTGAACCGTCTGGGGGAAGTTGCAAGTTGCCCGTACGATTCTCGTTTGTTGTCGCTTGAACCGTCTGGGGGAAGTTGCAAGTTACCCGTACGATTCTCATTGTTGTCGCTTGAACCGTCTGGGGGAAGTTGCAAGTTACCCGTACGATTCTCGTTGTTGTCGCTTGAACCGTCTGGGGGAAGTTGCAAGTTATAAGAATCTTATTTGCGCTGCCGTTACTAAACTAATTTGTATCCATTATCCGCATTAGAGCTCACAATCACATAATACACAAGTCCAATTTATATAACAATGTTTTACTTACAGAGTGATCAAAATGTCAAGTCCAAACATAAACAACGTCATGGTGTGCGGCTGTGTACTAACATATTCCAGTGTAGTGTGCTTCGTACTGGATCGTGGCCTTTTGTCAAGGGACGGGTTTCTACATGTATGTCGGGTATGTTGAGGTGCAATCGTGCCTTTGTGTTATCATGTTGTGACCTCAGATAGTACGGTACATGAGAACTCCAATGCACATGGTCAATATATTCTAGACGCAAATGGCCGATGGCATCTCGTTGGGATTTAAATAAATGAAACATAATTCAGTATCTACTGAAAAACAGACAATGATTCATCAACAACATTGTCCATCGAGCGTAGAATTGTATTACTAAATGTGATTCAGTGTATATATGCAAATAGCCGAATATTGCTGATAACACTACGCAAAGGCAATTTGCATTCAGCGATCAACGGTAATTGTTAGTACTATAACAATTCATACATATTTATAATATCTCAATTAAATGGGGGACAGAAGGCGAGTCACATATAAATTATTTGAAATACACCGGGCATTATGTCGTGTCAGAACACACAGAATAACCTAGAGCCGAAAATGAATACAAATTCGATCAATTTGTAGTGTTTTGTATTTTACACCCTAACCAATATGTGTACATGTGATTCATATTAGGTTTGGCGCGAAATTTTCATTGAATCATTTCATCCCATGCGGTATTAATAAAAGACAGTTATTAATTTCGTCCCGTGCGTCTTGGTTATATATCATTGTGACATGTTTACGATTTACATCTCTTGAACAGATGAACAGGACAATTTTCTAAGATCTGTGTAATTACATACCCTCGTTAAGGCGTTAGTCTGAATAATCACTGTTCATGTTTCATTTCAGGCACGTCCCTGGATCCTCTCTTTGGGTTTCACATTAGCCTACGGGGCAATGTTCAGTAAGACATGGCGAGTGTACACTGTATTCACCAATAAAACACCAAAACGTAAGGTAATCAAACACAGATAAAATCTACAAGAAAATAACCATATATCATCGTATCATCGTAATTGTCTACCTCCGTAGGGGATTGTAAAAACATCAACAAATGTAATCCATTTGTTATTCTAGGCCGTAAAGGATCAACAGCTTTTTACAATGTTAGCAGTCATGGTTGCCATAGATATTGCTATACTGGTTGCTTGGCAACTTGTGCATCCGCTGATAATTATTGAGACTGAAGTCAATACTGTGGTAAGTCTCTTTAAGGATCCGCAATGATACAATGATAATCTCTCATACATATCAACTATAGCTTTTGTATGTTGAACGCTGTACTCTCTCGTATTCTTTATTCAATCACTGTTCTCTGACTGGTTATTACCAAAATCAGGCGCACTACACGCTGTGATTGGCTGTAACTTACGTCGTTATACTATACGCTATACTCAAATCATTAGAGGCAATGTGACTCGCGATGATTGCAGGCCCTTTATCGTCAAATAAATATCACCGCCATAATGTTATGATTGTGAATACGATTAGGAAACGCTGAAGATAAAAATGACTGATATTCCCAATTATTTTAAATAGCCTTTTCTAAAAATGATTTGTTGTAAATATCAACGTTGAACTTAATGATTACTATCGTTTCAGTCTTTTTTGAACGCTATTGTTTATGTAAATGTTGCTTTACTGCAGTAAGGTATTAACATTGCTAGTAAATGTATAGCGATTGATTTGAATGTTATTGAAGTTGTGAATGACTGAAACGACAGTAAGTGAGAAAAAAATATTACTTATGTCCAGAATGCGACTGATACATCTTAGTTGGCAACACCATGGCTGACACATACTATAAAGCAGTCGATCACATGATATACTTATAAGTGCCATTATTTCTCACATGTTATTCTAATTCTGCACAAGGTGAGAGAAACAGATGACACAGTATGGAATGATGTTTACATTATTCAGAGCTGTTCTACGATTAATTCCAGAAATTTCATTATAGTCTCATATACGTACAAAGGCCTGTTATTGATATTCGGTACATTTCTTACTTGGCAGATAAGGTGAGGGTTATAACAACCGATTACGACATTAATTAAGTGGCTTACATACATGCCTGGTCACAATGTATAAAAGTAGAAGCCGTTGTTACCGTTGTTACAATTCAGTATATAACGTATGTCTGCCATAGAAGTCACGAGTAAAAGCGCTCTAATACTGAAAAATTGTCGTTCACTAAAATCCAACCATCAACCAATTTCGAAATAATAGGCTAGTTTTGTCTAGGTCAATATCCTTATATTTACTGTGAATACAATTTCGTTGCTGTACAGTGTCACGTGATTAAATTCTGTGTTTTCATTTATGCGAATAGCTTAATATACGAATAAAACACTTTTTGTGTTGTACCTTATTTCAGATCTGTAACCATACCAGGGTTGAATGACAGTAAATATGTAGGATTGTCGTTATACAGCGTAGTTATTATCAGTGTTATTGGAGTACCTATATCTTTAGTCTTGGAGGAAAACGTCAACGCCTTGTCCATTATTATCAGTGCCTTTATATTGTTCTGTACAACGATGACGTTGTTACTAGTGTTCGTACCAAAGGTAAGATTCTTACAGAAAACGTCAACGCCTTGTCCATTATTATCAGTGCCTTTATATTGTTCTGTGCAACGATGACGTTGTTACTAGTGTTCGTACCAAAGGTAAGATTATTACAGAAAACATGACATGTGGCCTGCATACAAAATTCTGCATTTGTCATCATCTAAATAAACGCATAGCACAACATTTTGCTCAATGTCTTGTCATATAAATACGTTATAAATTGTTCGATCATTCGATAATGTTATCCCAGAAACTGTTGCATTTCACTACTACACTACCTCCAGTCTCGTGTCTTGTGTCCATTTGATATGCCCATGCGTTTGAAATGGAACGGAAAAAACACAGTGTTAAACTCTGAATAGTGCCTTATGTGGACCCTATGGTCGTAGGAAACACAAATCCTTCCCGGTTATATTTCGATTATGATACTATAGTGACCACAAATTCGATTCCCTTGATTTCTATAAATATTTAAAAACTTCACTATTCGAACTGAAACGAAATGTTTTTATTGGCCAATGGAAACTGCCATTGAAATTTATAAGTATTTATAGAAATCAAAGGAATGTGTTTGTTTTAGTGGTAATAAAATAACAAGCGCGACTACTGGGGGCTTTGTGATTGCACTGACTGCCATTTCATTATACACATGAAACTAGAGGTAGTGCATCGGTAGTGGTTACACGTAATGGCAGTTCTGGGGTAGTCCAATATATTGGTAATTGATATACCATTAACCGTTAATATTAGGTGATGGCAGTAAGACGTGGGGATGACGGCATGGGAGCAGCGGTAAACGATGCCTCCATTTTAGACGACGAGACAACACAGAATTCGCAGAGAAGGGTCAATACTGTCGCTACCATGACAACAGAGTGAAGTGGGCAGACATAAGAAGAATCGAAATTGTACAGTTTCTCAGTTTCCGTTTTTACTTTAGTTAAATAAAATAGTACACGCGTTCTTAGGCATGTTAAAGAAATTTAAGCAGACGATATAATTAGGACGATGTGACGTAATAAATAAGTCAGTTTCTCATCAATCGTCATACACGATTAACAATTTGTTAAAAATATAATTGTATTCAATCTGTGAGTTGTTGTAGATTTCATTTTATTAACTTACATAACTTTGGTGTTATTTTGTCTATGTCCTGCTGATTTAAATCGCACGCTTATCCTCGCTATACGATGTTCTCAACCCTGGCTTTTTAGGGAAATAATCTTTTCAATGAAAACATGAAATGTAATTTCAATCAAGTTACATTTATTGGCAGACTAGCAATACATATTTGGCTGTACATGTTTATTAAACGATTTCCCCTCGGCGTCAATTACTCGATTTCTAGTCATTGAACTACTAAAATAAGTATTCCGTTCCCATAGTATGTCAGTAGTGATTAAAATGGCCGACATGCGACCATGAATATGTATCCAGCCATTCCAGCGCATATTGCAACTAATGTGATTGTTGACGTCAACATACACAAATAGTACACAGATTAGGGATGACGTCAGAAGATCAATGTCGGATACAAAATTTATTTGCTTTAGTTTGGGGGGGTTGACCTCAAAAATTTTCCATTCTACAAAAGCGATTTTATTTTTTAATGAAGTCAAAAAAAATCATGGAGTATTTGTAGTTTGTTTGTTTTTCTATCCAATCATGGACAAAAATAACAGAAAATGATAAAACAAACATCCAAGACGAGAAAATGGTTTGGCCCGAGTGAAAATATTTGCGTCAAATGAGGTCAATTTCAGGGCATGGACCTAGAACCAACTGCTATGCCATACTACTGTCCGATTATCAATTTGTATTTAATGATGAATGTAGTCTGACGACATGATCAATATTTATCAATTAAGTTTCAGTGGGGTGGGGCGGGGGAACTAAAGGAATTAACTTTTTTATCCTACATTGAACTTATGATGTTGTCCCTAAGTGTAAGGCATGAGCTGAATATCTCATTGGTTACGAGCAATCGTAAGACGTTTTTAATATATAAATACAAATTCTGTGAACGAAATAGTTAAATTGGGCCAGGTTTTAGTTTGTTATTGCGCATATCCGGTAACCTCATTTCCGTTTCCATGATGACTGTAAAGCGCACATTAACGTAATCGATTGACAGGCCAGTCGAACTCGCGCGGTAATTTGTATTACATACCCTCAATGGGATCTTCCATGCACGCCGTCATGTTGCGAAACCTTATCTCTTTAGCTTAGCTGTACATAATTTAAATAACTCATAACATGTATTTAACATTAAATTATATTGCGAATTGTCTTATTATTTATAATAAATATTTCTAATATCCTTGTGGTGAACGTCTGTATTGTATTAATACTCCATGCTATGCTTTGCGTGTTTTATGTGCAATGTTCACACACGTATTGTGTATGACGTCACTCTCGTCCGGGTACATTATTGGTTTTGATTGATAGCTGTGTTTGACTTTTACTTTCAAAATATATATTTTAATTGCCACTGCAGCTAAAGGTTGCATTACTAATGTTAAGCCGGAAATAGAGTGACGTGTGACGGTAAAACACACAAAGGATACCCATTATGCTTTCGCGCTTAGTTGGCGAGTATATGTATCTTACATAGTCATGGGCGGAAAATACTTATACTGGTTTCAGGCGGGCGCTATTCCAATAGGCGAGCTAAGGGTGCGTCAGTTACTGTATAATGGTGATGAAAATGGTGGATCTGGTGACCAGGGCGTGAACAAACAGCTTATACATTAAACATGCATTATAATTATTACCATTCCAATCACAGCTAATGATAAATAATTAAAAAAAAAAGACTGTGAGTTAAATAAACCTATAAGCTATTGTA